AGAGAGAGAGAGAGAGAAGGGGGGGGGAGGTGAGGGTCCAGCGTTTCACGGCTTTTGTTGCATGGAATGTACAATCTCTCGTTATCCTCGAAGTGCACTGGTGAAATGGAAATCCTCGTACAAGTAATGAAAGTAATGTAGTCGCGCGGAGCTATGACTACTACCACGTTGCATCAGAACGCCTAGATCTTGAAGGCGGACCTAGAAGTATCTCTCTCTCTCTCTCTTTCTCTTTCTCTTTCTCTTTCTGCTGCCATTCGTTCAAGCATCGTAGAAAAATAGTCTGTTCATGGCTAGTTAGTCAGCACGTTAGTGGGTGATAGGCGGTCAATAGTCATGGTTGACCAACGACAATAATGCTGCGAATATTCGATGAAACATTTTGGTACTGAACATTCTATGATGCGATTAGTTATCGTGTTGAAACTTAACGGATGTTTGGTACAATTATTAACGGACGTACAGTACAATTATTTCATTTACCTCTTGAGACTCATCACCGTGTCGGACAACGAATTGGCTAGGTGAAGCCCCATAAAGGGCGCTGCTTGAAACCGGCGACCTCTTGACAGGATCTTTGACGTCGATCTCCAGCAAGACGATGTCATCAGCATTGGCCGCCGACACCGGAACAACGCTGGTCTCCTCTCCAACGGAGATTGTCAGGAGACCTGTCGATTTCAAATGTTTCAATATATACAAAGCCTTCCTTAGGGGTTAAAAAATTTAAATATTTTATAATATATTAAATATTTTAATTCAATAAATATAGGAATAAGAGCTAATGAGCCGACGTAGGATGGATTTGCTTATAAATATAATATTAAACGTGTACAAAGATGATAATAATAATATACATTAACTTTCGTTAAGACTCCAAACGCTTCGACCCTGAATATGTGATCATTCTCTTAAATATTTTCTATAAATTAGATTACTTTATCTAAAAATTAACTTTGACAAATATTCTTTCAACAAATATATTTTTTCTTTGTATATTTTTTTATTATATTTCGCTCGCACGGTAAAATTTCATTTGGAAATTCTTCGAAATGTAAACACACTGTCTGCTAGATGTCAAATCCTAACTAAATATATCCTTTTGAAGTTTGGTGGTTGAATAATCGAACGTGGAAGTGACTTTTACCTATATCGTTCTGCCTGACCGCGAACGCTTAGAATGGAGCTGGGAAAGCAACGCAGAGAAAGTTACCAGCGACGTGCGCTCAAGAAACTCTTCCCACGGATTTTGCTTACAACATTTTCAGCCGTCTCGTCGTAGCGGAAAGAGATAAGTATATGAACGGTTCGGCTAACAAACCGTAACGCATTAATTTTTACGGGCTTCTTATGCTGTGACAATAAAATAATGAAAAAAAGGTTTACGTATCGACAGAATTATCGGAGTTCGATCTCAATCTATTTTACATCAGTATAGAGCTCAAACTAAGTTTATAACAAAATACAATGAGAAAATCGATGAATCTTATTTCTCTCCAACAGGATGAAGCAAAATTATGAATCGTATTGCAAAACTTCCAACTTATTTTGTGAAAACGAAACATTTTCGCCTACCAAAATATTTAATATACTACGTACTAAAACAGTTATTTTTATTGTAAATTTTGATGGATTTGTGTTTACCTCGATATCCTAATGAATTCTTTACATCGATAAATCATGTTTTAAGATAAAATATATCTAATGTAATCGTTCGCAAACCGTTAGAATTTATATTATTTAAAATGCTTACGGCCTAAATAATTAATTCGTATATATAACCTAATCAGAGTAATAGGTCATGATAACGTCAAAATGAATCGTGATTGACCAAAAAGTATAATTTTTAATAACCATTTTGGAGCTATTTTGATGTCATTGTGATGTCGTTATAATTTTTTGTTCTGCATGGGTAACTCTTAAAAATGTTTTTTCAACTAGCTGTAATCAATTAGTTAGTTACAGAAAGTTAGTTACAATTTAGTCTTGACGATTATTCTTGGGTGATCCTGAAAGTGAAGTTGAGGAAAGTTGTTTTCCTTTTACTTTTTTTTCTTTTTATACTCATATCATCACGTAAGCGAGGCGTAATGATCATGATCTCGCAAAATGCGCGCCTTTATTACCAGTTTCCTCTTTGGCAACTTACCCGGCAACTAAGAATCATAAGTTATTATCGCAAAACTTGGTTTGCACATCGCGCAATGAAAGTATAATTGTAGTGCTTTGATTAGAAGTGATGAGGATATAAAAGAGTTGAGAGAGAGAGAGCGTCCTTGCTACCTTGTTATGGTTTTCTTACAGAGAATTACAAGAACTAATTTTCTAAAAATGTGTCATAAAAAGATGTTTTATGTATATATATAGCGCAGATGTTATTTCAAAATTAAATGAAACTTTCAATAAAACTCACAATTTAATTGAAAATTAGAAGATATTATTGTAATTTTTCTTTAAACTTTTATTTAAAGCAAACCAGAATTAAATTAATATATAAAATAACTAATAAAAGATATTTTGTTTAATTTAAAAGAAAAGTTTCTAATTGATAAGAAATAGATTTTCATATTTTAACTCATTTTCACTAAAATTTCCAGTCTGCTAAATGTTCCTTGAGCCATTTTTTCTTCTTTGATAATTAAAGAAAAATCAATGTCATAAAATTAATCTTATTAAGTAAATAAAAATTTTCCAATAAATTAAACTTATTATACTTGATTAAATTCTTTTTTTCGAAATTTTTTAACAAATTAACCTTTTCAGTATAAATTGTATATTGGCTCGTATTTTAAAATAAAATAGAAACTACAGGAAATGAAAGCCAATTAAACGAGCAAACAAAGATGTTGCTAATATAATTAGATAAATTTATTCTATAATATTAAAACTGAACGTTCCGTTTTTATTTCTTCAACCACCACATGTACAAAATTTCAGTATATAACCAATTACATTAATCTTAGTCGGAGAACACGTGATGTTTCTTTCTAGTGTGAATTTATATTGTCCACGATATAAAATTAAGATCGCTGAAGGTGAATCGTTATTCACCTTTTCTTTTGATAATATTTAGTTCCTGATTAAGATTAATGTAATTGATTATATATTAAAATTTTTTATTTGTAATTAAAAAAGATTTAGTAAAGTCAAAACGTTCTGTTTTAATATTATTGATTAAAATTAAATAATTATATTGCAACATATCTTTGTTTGCTCTTTTTATTGACTTTTATTTCTTTTAGTTTCGATTCTTTTCAGCATATTTGATTGAATTAATTCTTAATTAAAATTTATACAAATTTTATTTTTACATTTAATAATAGAAAAAATATTTAATGTGTAACATATAAGAACTAAAAAAGATTCAACTATTTATATATTTGCTGGGAAAGTGCGCCAGTAAATTTAATATATTGCAATTGTAGAAAGATTTTTTGAGATAAATCGTTTTGTTTCCTATAGCCATGTTTAAATACGATCGCGCAGATCCTTTTGAAATGGCTCAAGAGAGGAAAGCGCAGGCAATTCGATTAGCTTTCCTTCTTTTGTTAGTCCGTGGGATACTCCGCGGATGTGCGTAATTTTTCCCTCGTTGAGTAATATTACGTGCGCGTCCTTAGGAGGAAGCCGCGGTTAAGTAATATCCCCCATATATATCGCGAACGCACGCACAGGATTAACAAATCTCACCTATCTAATTAATGCGTTTCGCGAAGTGTGCATCTTTAATTTATTACTCAAGTTAATGTATTTTACCGATTTTGCATTTATATTTATATACATATTTATGTATTTACACTTGTGTATGTTTTACGTTTATTGCCCTCTAAAAGTTAAATAATATAGTTGTTAAGTAACATTTTATACAAAATTAACGCGTAATATTTTTGACATTAAATTTGAAATTTTCAGAAATTCTTGAATGAGTAAAACAATTTACAAAATTACAATTTTTACGATTTATTTTTCAAAGGAACATTACTTTAAATATAAAAAACGATATACATATATATATATAATGCTGATAGTTGAGCAGTTGTCATTATTTACAAATATCTTAAATCAATTTCACATATTGCTTTTACATTTAAAAAAGCTGTATTTGCTACAAAATATTTTTTTTGCTTTATAATTAATAAGATATGATTCGCGGATATTGTCCTTGTTCCAATATACAATCGAACCTTGATAACTCGAACCTCTATAACTCGAAAATCTTCGAATTTTTTTACTTTAAAACTCATTATAAATTATAAACTCTCGTACAAAGCTTCCAAAATAATTTTCATATGTTAATTCTCTTTTACTCGAACTTCGATAAGGCGAAACCTTTATGACTCGAAGATTTTTACAGCTGTTCCCTTGAAATTTGAATTATCGAGGTTCGACTGTATATCCGATATAACGGTATAATACAATGGTGTAATACAACGTGTAGGAATGTTATTAAAGGACAATGTTTCGCGCATTAATTGCAGTGAGCTTCGTGTTCATGTACAAAGACATTAATTATGCATAGGCATTAATTATCTGACCTGTTTTACGCCTCAGACTATTACATTCGCGTAATATCGGAAACACGCTGCAATATTCTCATTGCGCACACGATTATAATGTGCAAAGTATAATTTTAAATATCTCATTTTACTTCTTTAATTCTCCTTTTTTTACTTCTACTGTTTTTTTACTTCTGTCATTATTTTTATTACATTTCATCGTATTTACGAGCAATAATCATTAATATAAGCCACAAACATGTCCGTATATATTGCATACGTTATATATGTACTTTTCTTACAAAACTTATTACGCGTCTTAATGTTTGCGCAATAGATATACCTAAGTGTTAAATTATGCACTGTATCATAATATATTATTATCCATTTATCGATCTTTAAAATATTATACAGATGAATGGAAATTATTTATTAGCTTTACAGGCATAAGCAATTAAAGGGTTTGCTGCAACAGTGATAACTCACATTTTTTAACGAAGAAAATGAGCTCTAAAGTTAAAATGATAAATTTCAGAATTTATTTCTTTTCAATTTTTATAAAATGTTATAAAATTGGTTTCAGCTTACTGTTGTGCAGCACATCCTTTAGCTTTAAACTTATGATGGATATGCGCTATGTGATATCGTATTTTAAGCAAATATAAACAAATATTAATTGATGCTCCGTTTTTAGTCATAATGTATGTACGCGTATGGGCTTTGACTTTTTCTTAGAGAAAACTTATAATCGTGAACTTTTAGTTTTTCCCGTCGATACAGCGTAATTATAATTACCACTAAGCAAAGATTCGATCGGTATAACACGAATAAACGGTCTTTCAAAACCGCGGTATTAGGTTTAATAGGTTTGAGCGTTGGATTAGAGGTGAAATTAGTGATGCAATAAGGACAATGCGAAACCACGCCATCGACCTTTCACTTTCGGATAATCTGTCCCGAGTGCAATCTGATCGCGATCAGGATTCTTCAAGGCCGCATAATATTTCTGCTCTATTCTGATGAAAAAAAGAATCTCTGAACAGTTTATTTTGTGAATTGATATTCCAAAATACCGTTCGCTTTAAAATGTGTCATGTTTGAGAACAAACGAGAAGATTAAAAACTTGTTAATTTAAATATTACAATGAGATCATTTCCATGTGATGATGTACGTTAAAGTCGTCATATATCAGTAAATATTTTGTTTCCTTTAGTCTTTTAGCCTTTTTTTGTTATCTAAATTACTCAAGTAATTATCGATAGTAAAGTCCAGCCTCAGTAACATTAGCGCTATTCAAAATTAAATATATAAGTTAATATTATTTAATTAAATTATAATATGCATATGTATAAAATGAGCTTGCAATACTTGAATAAATCTAGCGAACTGTTTGAAATTGTTTATTTAAGAATATTTCAACAAACGAAAGTATAATAAGAACGGAAAAGTATAGGAAGCTAGAAGAGAGAAAAAGTTGTAAAAGAGAGTCTTGACTGCAATATTCCGTGCTGGCAATATACGGTATTACATTGGCGTATATTCTGCGACATATTATTACTAGCGGTTTTCACTTTTCGTTCTGGCTTTAAGCTGCGCACAGACTTCCGCCTCGGCCGCGGGCCATCATATCACCCACCTTAGGTCGTTCGTGAGTGACACACGAGGAATATATATGTACAAATATATATATATATATATATATATACGAAGATTTTTACATCATCATACAGATATTTAGAATCCTACATGTGTAGATTATTCCGACGAAACATTGTGCAAAAGCAATACGAGACAATGATTCAGGTATGTAATTTATGTGTGATAAAATATCGTTGTTAATTGGAAATCGTTGGAAAATTTATGTTAAATTTAACACATTTAAAATCTCAAAATGGTTCATCCAAATTTTCGTGTTAATTTAACACAAGATAAATATGTTAAACGATAACATAATTATATAAAAAATTGATTAAAAAAATGTAACACAATTTGCAAACAAATTGTAGAGACACATATATCTTTAGTAAAATAATAATATTTATAATATGTTAAATTAACACGTACATTTTACTTATTTATTATTTTTATCTTTAGAAATTACGGTTCAAAACTACTTTATTTTTATATTATTTGTTCTGTATTTTATTCTTAAGAAATGTTGAATATCAATTTAACAAAATCTTTAAATAATATTACAGTATGTTAAATTAACACATGTTATAAAAATTCAATACAAAAATTTTTATGAGAACTGGTTTTAACGCAAATATAAAATGTTTTTTTTACTGTGTGTAACAATCTTCCCTCTCGACTACTTTCGGTTTTCAAGTTGGTTGCCGTTGCAGCTGCAACCCGGTACTATGGTATATCGGTTAGAAAGGCGATACCGTTCGTTCACGCAGTTTATGTTCGACGTCGATTTCCCAATCGATGGCGATAATACGAACGCGTGTGATTTTTTGTCTTGACTGTCGTAGCTGCCATTATTGATTTGTATCACAGATAATTTATGTATAAAATGAATAGAAAATAAATTTATAAAAATAATTCGATGATTGGCGATGTAAATGCCATCGCCTACTGTGAATGATTTTATGTGTAATATAATCTATATAAAAATCATAGAGTTATCACTATATATAGGAAATTATGTGGGCTCAAATGTGCATTTAATAAAATTAATGATAATAGCTTTTCCTTTACACTATTGAACATATAGTCATTTTGCAATTAGCTTTTATACAATTTTGATAATTTAAATATTTCTTATTGTTTATAAAAATTGCAAGTATGATTGTGAAAAAAAGTGAATATTTTACATCGTTGCACAAATTTAAAAAATATTTTATATTATCTTATTGTTTTGCACCAGAATATTTTTTAACTAGTCAATATTTTATGTGCAAATAGATACGTGATTTAACGATAAAATTAGAAAAGTGACGATAAGGATCTGATCATGAAATACGTGAGTAAAAATCTATCCCGCCGTCGTAGCGACGACGTGGAAGATCTCGATAACGTGCAATAATAGCCTAGGAAGGAAACGCGTTTCTTAACTTGATGGCTTTTTTTATACATCGGGGGAAGCGGGAGATCATGAAACGCAGATTCGAGTTCTCATTGCGGCATTGTATCAGCGTGTCGAGGAGGAAATTAGGCAAAGAGACCCTGCGGCTTCTCGTGCGATTATCGTTACGTGGGTTCCTTTCGAAGATGAGAAAATCCGATAGCTTCGTGTTATGAGAAGGATGTTTTGCAGCGGTGTCATGGATTATGAAGAAACTCGCAAAAGAAAATAAAATTGCACGGCGAACGTGTCGAATAGAAACCGGAAGGTTGCAGTACGTGGTCTCTCTCTCTCTCTCTCTCTCTCTGTCTGTCTGTCTGCGTAAACGTGTGTCGGAAGCAACTTTCTATTGATCTAATACATGAACATTGCCATCCGTATTGCTACAGTTGAATATACATTGAATCATATTTTATTCATTGAGCACAGAATATTTCAGTGCATCAATCAGAAATATATTAGCCAACGAGGGAAAATAGTCAGGTATTGATGCAAATACTTTTATAAGTTTATAAATACAAAATTTGTTGGAAAATGTCTCATTGAATGCGAATGTATCGTTTCTGTCATTCTTCTAAAGCGACGATTTTAAAATAAAAATAATCTGCGATTTGAGAATATTCTTTAATTAAGTAAATATTTTATTTCATATAAGGTGCATGTTGTAGACTTTATGCGATACATACATAATAAATATAACGTTTCGGAAGCCAGTCGGCCGATAACTTGGAAAGTCAGTGCAATTCATTGGAGATTTACGACAGTTTATACGTAATTACCTCTCATTATAGTTAATTGGACCTGCTCTCATCTAGGAACTTTGCAATCTGAATTGATCCAACTTTCCCATCTTTGAATAGGAAGTGACGACATTTCATTTTTGCAAAATCCTCTTTTATTCTCATGCCATTCTGTTAATTTCCATATCAAGTGAAATTAAGGTTTATAATTAATCAAAAAAGCCTTTAACAGAGATCAATTATTTTAGCACTTCCTTATTAAATAATTATTATAATGTTTGCACGTTTTTTAAATTGTGAACGATATATATAGATACAACGATATACGATTTAATTAGAATTCTATTATTGATAATCTTTTTTTAATGGATTATCGCTAGTACATTAATTCACCTACATCAAGTTCGTTTTAATCGGTTTCGCGAAGAGAATCGCTAGAAAGAAAACCCCTTTTCATTTGTCTTTTGATTTCTCTCAACTCTTTTGAAAAATTGAAGCTATAGTATTGGTATAAGTCATTACTAGTTGAGTTCTATTCAGAAAGTATTGTTATCGATAGTAAAATGAGCTTAGCGCATGTGTATAAGTGAACAATGTTGCATGTTTGTGCCATTTAATGTACGTACATTAAAGAATGCGATTTAAGATAGAGATCGGCAATATAATAATTTTAATATTATGATATTTGATATTTTTTAGAACAAAATATCATTTTTGATGGCTTAAAAAAATATATTTTACTCTTATCTATTATTGTTCGACATTCGATAAAATTAAATTTTGATTGCATTACATGTTACATGGGATATATATTTAATATATACATGTATTATATTCTATTCATATATGTATATTTAAATATGAAAGTAGACTTTGTTTTATGATTGGAAAAGAGGGGAGATTCATATTTTTAATATAAATGCGTATTAAGAACTAGTGCAACTTGTTTAGCAAATTGAAGAAAGTCGCGCACTGACCATTTCCAATTTAAGACTGTTTCAGATACGTTTATCTGATCTAAGAAATACCAGTTTAAAGTACAGACCATTAATCATTTTAAAAGTGCTGTACGAAACATGAGAGAATTTCACTAATTTAATAATATATATGGTAAAAAGTTTTGAAACAATTTTAAAATTTTTAATAAAATACGCATAAATGTTGAATTAAAAAAAAGTAACTTATAGTAGTGATAAAAGTGTCACTAACAAAGCAACTCTATTTTCAGTTTTGTGTAAATAAAGAATATTTAAAATTGATATATATCACCTGTATACAGTCCTTGCGAAAAGTTTGAAATTGGAAAAGTGTTAATATTTGTTTAAAGTTTTAAATACTGTAATACAGAGATTAGTGATGTATGATGTTATTTACACAACTGTTGTAGTTTTAGTATTTATTTTTATATGGAAAGTATAAATATTAACACATTTCTAATTTTCAAACTATTTCCAGGGATACAATATATTGTGATATGTACGTAAGATTAAAAGATCTTGCGAGATATTTATTTGTTAGTAAAAAAAAATTTAATAGAATAAATTTTCTATTAAAAAAAATCTTTTTTCAAAGTTATTTTATATAATCAGATACGTGTATATGAGTATGTTATTTGATTGAAAATTTACATAAACTTTGTGTAGAATCTTTGCTGAAATTAATAAATTGTATCAGTTTATATCCATTGAGATTTATAATATTTAAAAATTGACCGTGTAGCTCTCTGTTTCAAATTAAGAATTAGAAATTTATTTTTAAAATATGTTCAACATTTAAAAAAGTATATATTTGATTGTTTCGATGTTGTTTTCATTAAAGAATATAAACTCAAAGTGATCCTTTTGTATTTTAAATAAAAGAACATCGAAAACGGATACATTCGTAATAGAATGCAACAATCCGAGACGCTTTTTCCAACTTTTCGCAAATACTTCCATCCTATCCGTGAAGAGTAGAATCCGTTTTCTTTTCCCGCACAAAATTCACACCCGCGTTTCGCGGTAAGAGACACACACGCGGATTTTATCGTTGCACGTACACTCCGTATAGGGTATTATTCACAAGGAGTCGATAAAAGAGAACAATGTGGATCGGATCGTTAACACTTTTACCGAGACACCCTGAGAAAAATTCTGTCCTTTTCCTGCGAGAATGTGACGTGATCGCACTCACCTGCGAGGATAAGCAGCCACATGGTGAGAGCGAGTGAGTGACGGAATCGCCGAGCGAATGTTTGGTGGAAGTGGCGTTGTAGTGGCTTTATAGTCCGAGGGGAAAGGCCGCGCCCGTGGTTCGGAGACCCAGGTGGGGTTCTCATATCCGCAACTCTTTTCTGCAGCCTATCGTGCACTCGACTGCACATTCGGCACATACAGTCGCAAGTCCCGCCGTTGGACTTCTTCTTTATTTTCCTTACTTTCTATTATACTTGCCGTGTGTTTGGAAAAACCTAAACTGGAGGTCAGCTTTGTTGTTCTAACGAAACACAAAGGGATGGCATAACGACTCTGACTGATTGTATCTATACTCTCATCGCAACTACAATTTAACTTAACAAAATAAGACTATAAGGCCCATTTTCATAATGTTTGGTTTACCTAAAGGTTAAAAATTATCAAGAAGTTTATTGTTTAACGACGTTTTGATTAGGACAACCAACCAGTTGATGTCAACTCAACTGATTTACACGTAACCTTTTAGTTTATTTGATTATAAGTTAAGTGTGTTTTAATTAACTTTCAAGTTTTAGTTAATCTAACTTTTTCGTTAACCATATATTATGAAATTGGGCCTAAAGAAGACAAAATAAAGAGTGAGACGATACAGGTCTGGCCGTGGAGACACGGTACAATTCCGATTCGGCTCTTTTCGATTTGATTTCTAAACTGGATCGGTATCGCTATATATAGCGCAATCGCGCGCCAATGCAACCGCACTCGGCTTCCACGGCTTCCACCAGGCTTCCTCCCAGGACTTTTCTCAGCGTGTCGTAGGTTGTATAAATTCATGTTGTATAAGTTAAACTCGCGCGCGATGCACGTGTGCATGCGAGCTGGTGTGACTAAGTGCACACGAAAGACCATGCGATACGAATGCGGCTGCTTTGCTCGCTAAACCGCTCGTGGGAAAGGCAATCGGTCGGTGGAAAAACAGTCTGGGATATATTAGATGAATGCGTGCCCCCGAAACCGCTTTCGATTCGTCCTCGCGCAAATGACTAATAATTTGATGACTAATAACCTATATAATTTGAAGAGAAACTGATTGAAAATGAAAACTTGTATGCCAAGTTTTTTCGTTTTCTCATTATTAATGTTTGTGCAAGCTTTAACTATGTCTCAAGATAAAGAATATTAAAAATGTTAAAGAAAGTTCTTTAGTCTTTTAGCGAAAGAAAGATACCCAAAGTTATACCTTAACAACTTTTCTTCTATTGGAGTTTAATGTACACTGCAGTTAGAATTTGTGTTACATTTAACATATTTTACATGTCCCAAAACTCCCAAATGTCCAACCAAATTTTTGTGTTAATATATACACTTTCACTCGAATTTAATCGGGTTTGATCCCAAAGAGGTCTTAAATGTTTAGTGCTTCCCATTACTTCTTAATCTGCGATATCAAAATACTCTAAATACCACAATTTTGCCTCTATCCGATAAACGGATGAATATATTAAAAAGTAACACAAACATTATGTTAAACTTAACATAAAAAATTTAACACTTGAGTACAATTTAGAAACAAATTTTGGAAACTTATTTCTTCAGTAAAATTAACATTAATTATACTATGATTATTAAATTAATACGCATATATTTTTATTCATTTATCTTACAATATTTACAATTTTTAAACTATTTTTATATTATTTATTTATTTACTCATAAATTGTATTATTTTAATACTAAAAAAATGTTAAATATCATTTTAAATTTAAATAATATAATTACATTGTGTTAAATTACACTTGAATAATTAAAAATTCCACATAAAATATTAATAAGAATTTAATTGAAGCGTTTTTAACACAAATTTTTAACATAAATGTTTTCTTTACTGTGTATATTTCTATAGAATTAAGATAGAATTAAGATACAGGATCTCATGTTCGCGATTTTAATATTAAATCTTATTTTTCCAATTTTTCATCTGTTTGTTTTTATAAAATTCAAGAATTTATTTATATATTGATAGAGTTATAACGTGGCTTGTAAACATTTGTGATTTATATGTCAAATTCGATGTTTGACGTCTGGATTGCGTCGGCATTAGATCCAGATATATCGTGTATTTTACTTTTTCGCAAAACGGCGGCACACGCGAGCACTTCACTGACGATGCCGATATACTTTCGTATCGCAGTCTCACGCCGTTTACTCACCGTGAGCGAGCGTGTAACTCGCTCATAATAAAATCGTGATTGCACGAGTTCAGACGGTCAGGCGGTAACAAAGTGGCAGAAAAATGCGACTGATCGGGTTCTTTACAATGTCTTTCGGAGAATTTCCTTTCAACAAAGACGTCATCACCATCAGTGTTCAGCTACGTCTGAACTGTTGGCTACAACTAACAATTTTTCAGATTTATTTCTTTATACGAGTTATATTACTGAATCTGATTCTTTTAATTATCTCTTTATTTTTAAGATCGCTTAAATGATTAAAAATTATTTGATTCGTGATAGCATTTGTTTCATTACAAAACAGAAAGATTACAATTTTATTAAATTCTTTTACTGGATAAATTATTAATTGCGAAACGAAAAAGAAAGTACAATTCTATCGATTGGCAAAACGTTACAATTTCTCTTCTAAAAAGTTTAAATCTAACGTACAAAGAAGCTTGTCAATATATTTAAGTATCTTAATAAATAGTATCTTCTCATCGTATAAAGCACCGTTTATCAAAATTTTAGAGATCGGATAGAGGTAAAATTGTGGTATTTGTAGTATTTTGATATCGCAGATTAAGAAGTAACGGGAAGCACTAAACATTTAGGACCTCTTTGAGATCAAACCCGATTGAATTCGAGTGAAAGTGTATCTTGGTGTGCGAATCTGAGCAAATCTATGATCATATTGAACATTATTGTCTAATGCATAGTTATGTTGTGATATCCTTGTCTAGTTATTCAATCGAACTGATGTCGATTAGAACATTTATCGAGAAAATCGAGAAAATAAGATTGCGGTGAAATAGTACATTCTCCAGATGAATAATACGCCTTCCAATACAACGGATTGTACGACAGAATTTTCTTGTAACCAATGTAGCGATACTTTGATGAATTACTCATTTTTTTACTTTTAATCTTCAATTTTGATAATTTTTTAAATTTGTTATTAATTGTAATATCAAAATTTACACGATGTACAAAGAACCTTGCCCAGTTTAGATATAAATTTGGATTCCTCACGTAGGATTTCCTCACAGAAATGAGTAGTACGTTAAGTTATAAAGTATAAAGAATAGATTAAAATTATATAGCTGTCAATTGCTAGCTGCACATCAATGTTCCGACCTCATCAATGTGGTATGTGAGATACTAATTTTACTAATTTTTATACTAATTTTGCTACTTATGTTTGCAGGATGTTTTTAATCAACTGATGATCTTTTATTATGTAATTAAAAATATTTCTATATTTTTTCAATCCATCTGCCTCCTCCTTACAAGATTTATTTTTATTTTATTAAAATAAATCTTTTATTTTTAATTAAAGTATCAGGGTTGACTGTGGAATGTTATAAACAATGAAGATTGAAAAGCGCCAACAACTGTCAGAGCGGATTTTGATGCTCCATAATATAATATTATCAAGTGTGAATCTTACAATTTTTTCGGTTCAAATAAATCGCGCGCCGCAAATCGTCGGACTTTCAACGCAGCTCAAAACCAAATAGTAATATCACAATTAAATTTCGCAAAGACAAACTAATAAATCTTTTATTTCTTTATTTTTTTTATCTTAATAATTTTTATCTTAATAAGTATAAGTATATTGAAACTACGGATCCAATATTAATTATTAAAGCTAGAATACAATCTAGACATGTAAATAAAACATGGTACCACGTTTACATTGTAGGAGAACGTGAAGGAAAAAACGTTATCAGAGAATATTAATGCACATATACACGAAAAGAACGATTTTGTTGAAAGACCTAAAAATTTTGCTAAAAACAGATCTGAAAATAATTTTTTATTGAATCATGAAAATAATTTGTTGGAATGTTAAAACTGATAAGTATTGCTATAAAACGTTTTGATATTTTAGCAATCATTTTGACTTCCGCACAAAATAATTTTGACTATTGAACAAAAATTATTTTCAGATCTGGATTCAGCAAAATTGTTCTTTCCGTGTAAGAATGGCACGTACTGTAGGTTACTCACATTATGTCAGTCATTTGGTATCTAGGATATGGCAAATATCTTGCTGAGGCCATACCTTCTATGAAGATGTTAATGATATACTTATCAGCTTCGACAGTTTTGATGATGAGCAGCAACCGGACGGATAGAAAATCTTTAATACACGAGTAACTACTTTTTGCAAGGGTTTTTCTAAAATTATTTAATTTTTAATACTTCCATTAGCGTCCACAAACAGGAATACAATTAATAAGTGTACGCGGAGGGAGGCCCATTTTGGGCGAGGGTTCTTTAAAATCAGGCCAAATCTTAAATTAGAGAGTTACATTTCGACGTCATCGCGCAAACATGCAACGGGGTGTATACTTATATCCACGTTATCTCGTTATTCAAGCGTGACACTTGGCGAATAATCGCTTCATGTGTATCGGAACGGCCGCGTTTTGTGTAATACCGCCGTGGCATATCCGGAAATCACGTCGATGAAATCCGTCGTATTGTTTGCGTGGCATAAAAATCTTTGTGATATATATACGATTGTTTGTGCGTGTAAGAATGTGCAAACGATCGATAATCTGTCAATCTATCTCGAGCGTTTTGTCAAGGAAAAAGAACAAAAATTCGGCCGGACCAATTCGTGAACCGGTACGACTGATGCAGGAGACCGCTTGGTGCGTATTAATTTATTTTTAATACGTAAATTACCCGACCGCGCTTTATGAGCCACTTTCTAATTGCATTCTGGAGGCTGTTTCGTCCTCGTAGCGGTAACAAAAAAAAAAATGCATAGGAAAGGATTGGTAGTCTTCGCACTAATGTACTACCTGATAATTGTATCTACTTAATCATCAGCTATGATTTGCGATATGAGTG